CCCCACCCTAAACCATTCATTTGTTTTCCTACCCAACTTCAACTCAATGATTTGGCAAAAGGACAATGCAATGTACTCATCCTCCATTGAGACAAAAAAAGAAAAAAAGAAAAGAAAAAAAACCTGTTTGCAATCGAAAATCATCTCTGTCAGTTTGAAAGCTGGCATCACTGTATCCTCTTACAGTGAGTTGATCCTCTCCTCTATAAACCAAGAACATATCCTTAGTTCTCTTCAGGTACTTAAGAATGTTTTTTACCGTTATCTAATGATGCTCACTCGGATTTGATTAATATATGCTACAAATGCTTAAAGCATATGAGACATCAACTCGAGTACATAAAATGGCATACATAATGGATCCAATAGCAGATGCATATGGTATCCTGTTCATCTTATCTCTCTTCTCGAATGATTTCAGACACATGTCCTTCAAGAGATAAACACCATGTAACATATGAAAGAATCCCTTCTTGGATTCTTCAATACTGAATCTCTTCAATACCTTGTCAATGTATGTATTCTGACTTAGACCAAGCAACCTATGTGATATATCTCGATAGATCTTGATACCAAGGATGTAAGCTACTTCCTTTAAGTCCTTCATGGAGAAGCACTTGGATAACCAAGTCTTTACCATTTGCAAGTTTGGTATATGATTCCCAATTAGTAATATGTCATCAACATATAATACTAGGAATGCCACTGTGCTCCCATTGAACTTCTGATACATATAGGGCTCATCTTCATTTTTGATGAAACCGAATTCGTTAATAGCTTCGTCAAAACGAATGTTCCAGCTCCTTGATGTTTACTTTAGTCTATATATCGACCTTTACAACTTTCATACCTTCCCTACTTGTCCTTCAAGAATGAAACCATTAGGTTGTGTCATATATATATTCTCTTCAAGCTTTCCATTTAGAAAAGCAGTTTTGACATCCATTTGCCAAATCTCATAATCATGGTATGCAACTATTGCAGGCATTATCCAAATAGACTTCAGCATTGCTACTGGCGAGAAGGTTTCATCATGGTCTATGCCATGCTTTTGCTTGAAACTTTTGGCAACCAGTCGTGCCTTATAGGTATGCACGTTACCTTCCATATCTGTTTTCTTTTTGAAGACCCATTTACATCCTATGGGTTTTATCCCTTCGGGTAAATCCACTAGTGTCCATACTTGGTTTTGGTACATGGAGTCCATTTCAGATTTCATGGCCTTAAGCCATTTAAAGCAGTTTGGATCTGATACAGCATCAACGTAAGTTCGAAGTTCATTGTCCTGATAAACTAGTTTGTCGCCGTGCTGAGTCACAAGAAAACCATATCTCTCGAGCTTACGACGTACTCTACCAGACTTACATAGCTCCTGTGTAACATGAGATAGTTGAATTTCTTTCATAATCTGTGGAGTGACCTTCTCTTGATGTTCCTCCATTTCTGGTGGTACATCTACCTGTTCCTCATCAGCCGTATCTTCTGGAGTCGGAACTTCATTGAGTTCGACCTTTCTACCTCATGTATTATTTTGTATAAATTCCTTTTCCAAGAATACCTTAGATTAAGCTACAAAAACCTTTCGCTCTTCTGGCTAGTAGAAATAGTATCCTATGGCTTCCTTAGGATATCCCACAAATATACATTTGTCAGATTTTGGGGCAAGCTTATTTGACATCAATTTCTTGACATAAGCACTACAACCCTAAATTCTCAAATAAGACAACTTGGCTTTCGCCCATTCCATAGTTCATATGGAGTCTTATCCACTAATTTGGACAGCACATGGTTCAGTGTGTGAATCGTAGTCTCCAGGGCATAACCCCAGAATGCTGCAAGTAGATCAGAAAAACTCGTCATCAAACAAACCATGTCAAGTAAAGTTCGATTCCTCATTTTCAATACACTATAGTGCTGAGGTGTATACGAGGTGCGAGTTGTGATACTATCCCACATTCTTTAAGGTATCCACCAAACTCCAAGCTTAAGTATTCACCTCCTCGGTCCATCTGAAGGGCTTTAATACTCGTACCAAGATAGTTCTGTACTTCTTTCATGAATTCTTTGAACTTGTCAAATGATTCAGACTTATGTCTCATCAAATAGACATACCCATATCTACTACAATCATAAGTAGATGTGATGACGTAAGAATATCCTTCTTTTGCCTATACTGTCATTGGACCACATACATCACTATGGATGATCCCTCACAATTTTGTAGATCTTTCACTGTTGCTAGTGAAAGACGACTTGGTCATCTTGCTTAAAAAGCATGACTTGCATACCTCATAAGATTGAAAATCAAATGGGTCCATCCTTATGGAGTTTTGCTATGTGAGTTTGATTTACATAACCTAGCCTATAATGCTAGAGGAATTTTTGGTTAAGATCGCCATGTTTGGCTTTCTTATTTTCAAGATTGAATATCTTTTTATTCATATCTAGAACATATAAACCATTATGTAGCCAATCTTTTTCAGCTCCTCATATATCTTCATCATTCTAATAGCTGCATGTTGTTCAAGATCCAAACCTTCGGTTGGTTGTAACTTTCCAACATCTCTAATCATCTCACATAACTTCCAAAATGCTTTTCTATCCATTCTTAGTAAGTTTATTGTTTGAACATCACTCTCTTATGGCATATTTAATATTGTTCAACCTAACGCAGCTTTCTCTTCAACTGATTCATCATTCAAGCAATTAATGGTTCTAGGTAATCTCATACCAAGCAATGTAAATTTTTGAATCATAATGGTCATAAAAGCACAAAGGTTCAAAAACATTTCAATATAGATGGCAGCCATTGCAATGCCAATTCTTCTCCTATTATTTGGTAGATGAGATATCTCAAATCCCTAATACATAAGTAAAAAAAAAAAAAAAAAAAAAAAACAAAAAGACTTGTTTATAAAACCCATATATATATATAAGTCTTGCATGCTTGGTTAGTTTGACTATATAATTAGAAAACAATTTCTTTCACTAGTGTAAAGTACATTTGAATATTCATCTATACATAAAAAATATAACAGCATGTGAGGAATGAGAACAATATTGTTTTTTGTGTTTGTTTATTATCATTATTTTTTTTATAGAGGTACCTAACTATACAATATATAAATCTAAACATGTATAGCACAAGAAAGCTCATAGATGAAATTGTAAGATAGAACAGAGTTTTTTCCCAATCTATATAGTGGGACCCATTGCTTTGCAAAAGGACTTATACAAATGACAAGCTTGAGAGCTATTTGCAATGGCGTTGTTGATTTAATATTTCATGAAAAACAAAAAGCCACCATCAATAAGTTCTTAACTAGATAACAAAAAGAATCACCATAAGAAATTGAAAACAATTAATTAAAGCAGTGAAAACTCACAGGTAAATTATTTCTCTAGTATGTTCTGAAGATGTTGATGATGTAAAGGTGAAAAGCAATGTTTTAAAAACCGACCTGGGGCAAAACCCGACAAACTGGCCTAGTCCTGGGTTGACCGGTTCAATCGGTTCAACCGTTGACATCATCATGCTGACATTAGCATGATGACGTCAGCAAAACTACTGTTAACAGAGTCCAAAATTCCAGAAATCAGGATCCAAATCACAAATTCCTAAATAAAAAGTCTTTAACAAGGCATCATCAAACATCAAACATCATTACATCAATACAATACATATTACAACTAATTACAAATCAAAAGAACAAAATTAAGGAAGAAATCACATCATAATTGTTCAACATTCTAGCAAAAAATGATATTCACCCAATGGTCTTCAATCCATCATTCCATCCTCAATTGAACTTCACAGTTCACACACCATCTGACAGATGATCATCATCATTATTAACATCGGCAATATCATCTACGAAAAGTTCCAACGAAAAAGAAAAACCATATGTTAAATCTTCCCATTTAAACTAATTGAATTTAAACTAGCAACTACCAAATTCAAATTGCTTAAAAAAATGGAAACAACCTTCTGAAGCATCTGTTGAGTCATAATAAGAAGGGTAATCACCACCACCTAAAGGAATAAATCATTCTCCATATAATGATTGTTATAGTTAGTCATAATTAAGTTCACCAACCTCCTATTCCTTATCAACTATCCAACATTCATTTTTATCAATACTTTCAAAATCAATAGGATCATAAGTAATTTTCTTGTAACAACTCTTGAAAGACCATAATTAAATGTTAAAATCATGACCAATAAAGATATCAATGAAAATAAAGTAAGAGATAATAATTAATAAGAAAAATGATTAAGGCTTTACACCTATTTTGCAAACGCAAGTTAATGAGTGAAAATCAAATTATTCAACCGTTGATGCTCCAATATGTTCCTCTTTTTAGTATGTATGCATTAAAAAACACTCCAATTTTGCTCACATCCCGAAAAGGCTAAAGTTTGACTTAGAATTTTGATTGCAAACTTTTGCAAGTTTGGAGCACTAAACCCAAATGTCCACCATTCTTCTAATTGAGAATAAAAGTATAAAACATAAGAAATAAACACAATTTCATAACTGAAAAAGTAGACTTAAAAAGTTAATAACTATTACATACCAAGACATGTAGTTTTGCAAGTTTGAAGAGAAAGCTCACGAGAAAAGCTTTCTAGACTGTCTTGATATAATTTACTCTCCTCCAGTAACATTGTCATATTCATTTTGAACACACTTGCTTTACTGTCAATAGTGTCAAGGAAAACATAAATGACCTCTGGTTTTTTGGAAAAAGTATCTTCGTCATATTTAAAAGCAGGATTAAAAAAATATGCTGCTGCATGAATATCATGGCATAACATCCTATCCCAGCGTATCTTAATAATTGTTGTATAAGGCTTGTACAAACTTTTTTATTCTTAAACAGCTTCTTGATCCCCATCCTTATTCTATACATGCCATCATACACATATCCTATTGAAGGCCTCTCATCTGAGTCTACAATCCGAAGCATACGCATCAATGGACTCACAACTTTGAAAATTACACCAATGTCATCCCAGATCGGTTATCTAGAACTATGGAAATAAATGCTTTGCCTTTATTAGATTTTGCATATTGAGACTCCACAAAAGCTCTATCTATCACTATAGATTGCAAGTCATGTTTGTGTCGATGTAGGCTGCTTAATGCAATGAAAGTTGCGGCAAAACGGGTTACATCTAGGCGTAAAATTTCTGTCCAACCCTATTCAAGTGATAGATAATAGATGTTAGTACTAAGTGAATTATAAAAAAATTGTATATATATAATATGACTTGACAGTGTAAATTATAAACATATGAGGTAAATGTATATAAATTGTTTTTCTTCAACAAAGCTAGCACAAACGAATGATTATACACAAACTTTGTAACCTCAGATGAACGTCTCGAAAGGTTAACTATGTGATTCATCTCAGCTGTGTTTTTTAATATCAAATCAATGCAATGTGCTGCACAGGGAGACCAAGTAATACTGCTATATTTTTCATACAACATTCTTCTAGCAACTTTATAATTTGCTCCATTATCAATGACAAGATGGACAATATTGTTTGGTCGAACCCATAAAGCTATTTCCTCAAACAAGCTTAACAATGTTCCAATATCCTTTACAACATCTGAAGCATCCATTGATTTCACAAAACACACTCTTTTAGGAAAGTACATTAGAAAATTAATAAGCATCCTATGTGAATTATCTGTCCAACCATCAACCATTAAAGTACATCCAACATCCTTCCAAGTTTTCTTGTAACCATCAACAAGTAATTGCACTTCTTTCTTAGCATCGCTCAATAAATTTACACGCAAACTATGATAAGTTGGGAGTTTATATCCAGGACCAATTACAGTTATAGCATCTAACATAGGCTGAAAATAAATTGGATTAATAACATTAATTGGGATGCAAGAATCATAAAATAACCTTGCAACAGTCATGTCCGCTCTCCACTTAGCTTCTTTTCCAGCTAAAACACTCTTAATTGAGGGCTGACACCCAGGCTTAGTCCTTGGAGCAAAATAGTCACAAATCCCAATAGGTCTTTTTCTCTTAGTGCTTGATGTTGGAGTTGGAAATGGAGAAACCTCTTCACATATTTATCTTCATTTGACATATCACCCTCAAATTATTGTACACTAGCTCCATAAGGATTGACATTCTTACGAAGTTCAACTTTTTGTTTATTCTTTGCCCCAATTTCATTTAGTGCTTCTTGAATATTGAAATTAACATAAAAAAGAACTTTAGAACACTTTCCAACTTTCCCCCTTTATACCCACTAGATGCAATTTCACTTGATAAATACCTCCATCTCTAATTATCTTGCCACAGTAAAGACATGTTAATATCTTATTCATATTTTCATGTACACCCTCATTAACATGTCCCCATGATATATCATTCAATCCTCGAAAAGATTGTGAAACATCTATGGAAGATGATTGTTGACAAGACCCAGATTATGACATTCTTTGTCTTTAATCTTGATATCTACCCTAGCAACACAAATAAGTTAGATAATAATCGAACAACATAACAAACCAAAAATTTCTATATTTTATTACTACATTTATAGAAATCATGTGCATAAGAGAAGAAAATATCGTCAAAAATTAGATTAAAGGTTCTATAATGTCATAAGAGGTAACTATAAAGTTTCTAGTAACATTTGACCATATATACCTAGCACCGTGCTGATCGATGTTATTGTTGCCTAAGACATTGAAATAGGAGATTTGAATATATGCTTATTCAACGAAGATATTAAATTAAGTCAATTAGGAGATTCAATATGTTTGATTAATTCTTGCATGACATGTGTGTGTACTATGTACACATAAGATATTCTCCTCAAATTAAAGTTTATAAGATTGCTATTTCTACTTCTAAACTTGAAAGTAAAAGGAACAATTTAACAAGAAATTATCAACACATACTTATAATGGAAACCTCATTTTACCACAATACAGCGAGAAATCCATTGATGAAAGTAAAAAAAAAAATAAATAAAATAAATAAAATAAAATCATCATTTAGAATGATAAAGATCTGAAATTAAACCCCAAAATTCACCGAAAAACCAACCCAAAAATTTAAAGCAAAATCCATCAAGTTATTATCAAATCCATAAACTACAAGAGAGTATCACCATCACCTGAATGACCAAGCTAGAGTAGTCACAGAGAAGCCAGGAGACAGAAGCCAATGCTTTAAAACCCATCGAAAAATCGCAAAACTCAATTGGCAAAGTCAAACTATAAAAAAAAAAAAAATCGCAAAATGATGGATTGACAAAAGAAGATACATACCAGAAGTGAATTAAAGTAAACAGGGAATAGAGAACAAAGGAAGCACTGATGATGGTACCTAGAGAAGATGAGATGCAGCTAACGTCGAAGAGGTGGAGCTCGATGATGAAGAGAGGAGATCGCGCAAATGGGAGGAAGAGACGATAGTACTTGGGCAAGATGAGCTGCAACTGATGACGAAAAGGAGGAGATCAACGGTGAACAAACGAGATTGATGGTGAAGAGTGAAAAGAGGAGATTACGCAAATGGGAGGAAGAGATTCTCGACACCAACTGATGACAAAGAGGAGGAAGTCCATGGTGAAGAGAGGAAATCGACGGTTAAGGGGAGTCACAGTGGAAGATTTTCAGAGCATATGTGAAGTGAAATGGCTTAAAAATAGAGGGGAAATTGCTGAAATTGATGAAAGGGTTTATTTTTTATTAGACCCAGTTTTTTGGAAAAAACTATTGGACTGACTGTTTCCTATAGTGCACTGGTCCAACCACGGGTGTAATTGGGCTGATGAGAGGTGCCAGTTTTTTGCCTCAACTAGCCCAACTCACTAGTCGAGTCTCGACTTGGTGAAAAGCTCAAAAAGAGAATGACAAATATATTTTCATTAATAAGGGTAAAAGGTAATTACTGAAATATTAAATTATTAATAAAAATAGTATTGAAAAATTAAAATACTAACAAGATCCCAGATTTGGCAACATCCCACCTACAAGGTGGTATCTTAAAACCCTTAAAAAATAAGGATTTTAAAGTGGTGGATTTTCCAAAATCCATGGATTTTAATTTTTTTTTTTTAAACCAAATTTATGGATTTAACAAATTCATTCATTTAGAATCTCTCTCCAAATGAGGCTCTAGTTGTTTTCAGAATATGATTGCCCATATGATATTTAAGTGCTCGTTTTTCAACTATAAATGCTGCCGATCCGGAATGCTATCTTTCCATTAGTAACGATCACATGGCTAAAAATGCCCAATCAAATCGTTCAAAAGATATCCAAATGAACATACAAAACCACCTTCAGTTTCACCATCCATGCATACCAAATCTTATAGCAAAGAATATATTAAAAAAAAAAAATGAAACTTACTCTCAAACATTCTAGTACATAGCACATGAAATTGCGTCTCCATCTAAAAAGGTTATAAAGCAGGCTTCCAAGTTCCAGATCATATAGCTCTAATTAACAAAATCAAAGGTTACAACCTAATATAAATTTGAGAAAAAGATTCCTAGAAAGATTTTGCTATTCTCATCAGTGATCACCAGGCATGCTCTTGATGATATCGGAGTCACCTAATAAAACACAAGTTCACCACAACAATAAGTTACAGAATCTTTCAAATACAAAAGTGTTACAATCAAAGGGAATTTTTTTTTTCAATATACCTGCATCAATAATGCTGAGGCAGCAAACTCTGTAATATTTTCCACATGCAGTCCCCAAGTCCACATTGTCTGACATAATAGAAAACAAAATCTTTTGAGGCCAATGTTTCCATAAGAGAGGTTAAGAAACTTGCATTAAACTAACATTTGGCTGTCACAGTACAGGCACAAAAGGGAAATCATCCCTATCTTGTGCACAATACAGGTATTAAGGAATCAAAAAAGCATATCAGCTCTGTGTATCCCAATTATCCATCAGTGATTCAATATTAAGCAATAAATCATCTGAAACATGATGTTGATCAAATCCAACAATGGTCTAGAATTCTGATCAAAAGAAAACAGAATAATTCAAAATCTTCATCTATAATACATAACGGATAAATCAAAACCTCACACATGCTATGTATAGTTATTAACTTCAACTAAAAGATCATTGAGAAAAGAAGCAGCAAATAAAAGTAGTAAAAAAATTAAGTTCAGAAACTTACTGCCATTGTAGTGGTGAACTCCAACCTTCGCCAACATAGCGTAATACTCTATTTCAGACTTCCTAAGAGGTGGGCAATTGTTGGCAATGATGACCAACTTACCTGCAAATAATAATAATTAATTAATTAATTCAAACTGTTCGTTTCAGCAGATCCTCAACCATCTAAACAAAAACCTAACAATATAAAACAACCAATTGAAACAAGAGTTTGATTCACAAGTTAGTTGGTAAAACTAATTAAAAAAAAAAAAAAGTTAAAATAAATCAATTTCAATCGAAGTGAATAACACCTATTTAATAAAAATCAAAATGCGTATATATAATATAAAATCTACATCACATGAATTCTCATCCATTGAAATGTAAGTAAAGCGAGTTCAAAATCTAACATGAGATTAGGAAACGGAAGACATAAAAAGGTAAAAACATAAAATACCTTTGGAATTTCTAAGGGATTTCAGGACCGTCTTGTAGCCCAAAGTGTATTTGCCACTCTTCATGACGAGCGCCAACCTGTTGTTGATGCTCTCATGAGTCTTCTTCTACAAATTCAACACAACAAACAATAATCTTCCAATCACAATCCTTTTTTATTTCCCAAAAAAGAAAAAAGAAAGAAAGAAATAATTCCAGAAAGACAGATTACGGTCTTCTTGGCGGCCACCATGGTGTACTACTTCGTTGCTTTACTTTGCAAATGCAGAAGATGAGCGTTTCACCACAACACTCGGTATACAACCGAAATTTTTTTTATAAAGTTGTTTATAAAGGAGGGACGACTAGGGTTTTTAGAACATTTCCCTTTGTTTGGATGCGGGAGTAATCTATTCTAGCGTAGGTTCAGCTTTGTCGTAACCTTGGATTAGTCAAAGCTTTTATTAGTATAATAATAACGAAATGCTACTGATTGTTTCACACTAGTAACAATTTTTAGTAAAAACCAAAATAACAAAATGAAAGGAATTGTATAAGATAAGGTTTGTTAAAAAAAATAACGTCAGGCTCATTTATTATAGTTCATTCGAATAGACCATTTTTCTTTTAAAAGAAGTAAAAGTTATTAACAAAATAAAATGTTGTTTATTTCATTAGTTGATTGTCAATCACAGTTTTGATTTACTAAAAAGAAAAAAAAAAAATTCATTGTAATCACGATTAAACGTATTATGAGAAAGATTAAATGAAATGTGTAAAATAATACAAGGGCGTTTTGGATAAAAAAAAAAAGTTAGAAAAAGTTGAAGGAGTTTTTTAAAAAAAAAAATGAATAATCTCCATATCACTTCTTTAATATTGCCACGTGAAATACATTCTAATCTCTATCCTATCCAACTAGATTTTATAAATTTGTATTGTTAGATAAAATAGTTAATAAAATTAAGGGTTAGTTTGAGATTGCGGTGGCTTGTTAAATAATTACTTATATATATATTAACTTTAATAATAAACAATATTTCATAAAGTCTATATCGTGTTTATTTTACTTAATTTTAAAATTATTTTTGGTTTTAGGAGATGAAATATATCTCATATAAAAAGAAAAAAAATTAGACATCTTAAATTTTTTTTTTTTTCATTATTGAAACAATTTTTTAAGTGAAAAATAATTTTAAAAATATAGAAAATGGTTGGTGATTTCACTGGCTAATTGTTGTTGGCAACAGCCAAAAACCATAGTGGATGAACTATCGGTGACAAGTGGAACGTCAACGCCGACACCATTGTATAGATTGGCGATCCATGATTCCAATGGTGGCAGCAATGACGTCTTGTCGCTACCGATAGGTTCGCCAACGACAATGACTGGGTACCACCGACGATAGTTAGTCGATGACTCCGCTAGTCAGTTTTGTTATTTTTACAATTTTTTATTATTTAATTAATCTAATTTGAAAAGTTAATTATAGAAAATTAGAATTCATATATAATCTAGGCGCATTTTAGTAATTGACTGTAATGAAAATATGCAGGACACTTTGTATCTGTTGGTGTTAATATGCAAGACACATTATATTTGTTACTTTGTCAAAATGCTTACACAACTGAGTGCATTTATCTTAAGATACAAGGAGGTATTTATAAGCCCAAGGGAAAACGACCCTTACATAAAAGGGATACAACCATTTAATATTTATATGCAAGTAACTACTGTAACTAAAAATAACCATTAATTAGTGTTTTTTTTTTTTTTTTTGGTTATGCGTAGTAATTTAGGATTGTGTCCTTTGTAAGAGACACACCCTTACAATTACATAACCCCAACTTTGTGGTGTATCATTGCAAGTAACACTCTTGCATGTGATCATGCTTTCTATGATTATGTTACTAACAACTCTTTATCAAATCAACAATAGTCCATCCAAGTTTGCAATATGCTAGCAAAGTAATGTCAAACTATAGTTATGACCTGTTGCGTGTAGACAATTTTAACCATCATTTCTGATCCCATCTTTCTAGTTCTATTTTTATATAGATGACTTCACATTGTTAGAATGCTTATGAAACCAACATTCTGAACTAGGAAAAACAATTTTTACCTAGTGTCGATGCCTAAAAAGGCCCAAATGGGTTCAATTAAAGAATAAACTCAACTAAAGGAGTTACAATCTATTCAATGCTTCAACAAAACCCTATTGGGTTTAATTCAAAGGTTTATTTTTCTTAGACTCCATTGTTACGAAAACTCGCAACAACCTAATATACTCAACTGACCTTGCCTGGATTGAGTATGATGTGAACTTGATTATAAATAATTAAAAAAAGAATCAATAAATAAAATAAAGATAGTTTTTAAAGTGGTTCGATATGTTCAATCAAGCCTACATGGATCATTCTTTTATTACTTTTTGTCTTACAAAGTAAATAAGTTTTCTCTCTCTTGCTAACCCCTTTACAATGAGTTTGAGGGGGTTTATAAAGTGCGTAATGAATAATGGTTATAAGAGAAAAATCAGGGATAACCACCTGATTTTAGGGAGTTAATCCCATGATTGTAGGTGTTGCCATTAAATTGAAATTGTTGAGAGTTACGTGAGATTTTCTCCTTAATTTTAGGGGATAGGGCTTATCCTTGACTCTAGAAGACAACTGCTTAGGAGCTCGCTTCAGCTCGGACAGAGCTTGCTTCAATCTGCTCGCACCTTGCTTCAATTTTGTCATCGCCTCTTGCACAACATTTGTCCCCTGTTTTTGGAGGTCGTGTCGAGCTCCAAAAACTATGAACTCCTCTGAACGAGCTATTGATGCGGAGACCAATGGGCTTAAGCCCTTTCAATAGGGCAATCTTTGGTAGGCCATGGTATGGCAAGTAGAAAGTTCTAGTGAACTCATATAAAACTGAAATGATGCTTTGAATTAGGTTTACTTGGGCAACCCTAATTGGATATTTTTATCTTAATATGCGTGAAAGTTTTTTTTACGAAAAGGACGTAGTGAAATTCTTTTAAATTATTTTTTTAAATACTACAATATCTCCCAAATTTTATTTCAATCATATTGCAATATTTCTCATCATTGTGGGCAACAAAAGACGGTTTTGACCTTCATAAATCGAAAAATAAATTTTTAAGGAAAATCTTAATTCATAGACTACAAAGTATTTTGTTCTTCTTTCTTCAAAAGAAAAAAAAAAAAAGATTTTTTCTTGATTTTATAATTTTAAAATTCTTAAAAAATTCTCAAAAGCTATAGTTTTAAATTTCATAATTTTATTCAAGTATTTTTTCTACAATTATTTCTTTCCCAAAATTCGAAAATTTTTAACATAAAACATCACTATTGTGTGTGATTTTGCCAGAAGCTCAGAGATCTCATAAGCTCGTAGAATTTTAGTTCAACCTAGAATCAATGCGACTCAAAATAAAGGCCGACCAACAGAAGCTCTTCATAACCAATCTCGACAGTTGTTCGACAGATCAGAGGATAAGCTTTATCCCCTAATATCTCAAAGGAGATATTATCATGCATTGATAGCAGAGCGATCATAGCGCACAGTCACTGAAATCAAGGGATTGCATGCCAAGTTTGATTGCAATCCCAAATTAATCTCATTTTCCTCTACAAAGTTTATGTATAAATACCCCCAAAAACAATGAGAAAGGGTTACCAAATTGTTTTAGATTGAAATTACTTCTCTTTGTAATTTCAATATTCAATAAGAAAACAGTGGACGCAGGCTTAAGATTCAACTTGCCGAACCACTTCAAAAATTCCTTTGTGTTCATTATTATCATTACTCATTGCTGATTTTAGTTAACACGCACACACCCATTCCAATTCTGTAATGCTTTCTCTCTCTAGCTAGTATACTCGTAAAATAAACAGTAAAACTCATGTAGATAGGAAAAACTATACATATAAATGAGTATACAAAGGTTGGGCCCATTTCTTTTATTATACACTAAACTATACATTAAGAAATAAAAGTGCTCAAAATAAACTTGACAGTGGTTGCCAGATGATGAGAATACAAAATGTCATATTTACCCCCCCTTAATGTCTAGTCTTTTATACTTATTTGTTGCCTAAATGTACTCATTATATTCTATTTTGATTTAGGACGCAAATGGAGGCGTTAAATGCAAAACGGAACTAATTAGGTGAATTCGGACAGTTTCGACATCGCTTCGTAATCTGGAAATAACTCTCTCATCCGAGCTTCGATTGAGATTATTCAAAATGTTGTGGAACCCTAAGAAAGAGATCTACAACTTTCATGTTTTGAGTTTGGAGAGATACTCACTGCATAAAGGTTGTAATCGGGCTTGAAGTTGACGCACCTGCACTGCTGACGTTCTAGAACATTATGCCGTATCATGCAAGTCAATTAGGCAGTTTATTATTGGAAGTTTTGAAGACCTATTGCACGCAAGTTATAGCTGGAAATACCACTTTCCTATTTTACATTAGGACTTTATTTTATTTTCAATTAATCAGATTAGGATAAATGTTATTTTAGGATATTAGAATATTTTTAGGAGTTTAGTAGAATTCAAATACTTGAATTGGATATCTTTAAGAGGAGAGAGAGATTAGATTGAAAGGAACACACACGCCTCTCTTTTCTCTTTTCTGGAATTTTCTCTTTTGAGTTTTTGATTATGGCCATGAGCGGCTAAAACTTTCATAACTTGGTTGAAGGAAACAGAGGCCTCGGAATCAATAAACTGTGAGATCTAATCTGTTTTTTTTAGTGTTCAATATATGTTTTGAGTATTGGATGTTCTTCCATGCCTATTTTCATGATTGTTTCATTTAATTACTAGGAACCCTACTAGTTTATTATTTGTTGCAATCTATTGCTTAATTAGATATCAAATCCGTAATTGATTGATCCCTCTAATTTGTGAGTAAATAAGAGTTAAGAATTTGCTGCGTCAAGAATTGTTAAATCTTAAGGAGAACATTCGACTGAATTAAATACAACCGCTTGTGTTTGTGTTGTTAATCTTCATAAATCTCTCTAGTTCTTAAGGCTGCCACTAGATTAAACCTTTAGCGTTTGTCTTGGGTTGTTTAGTAGTAAGATTAATTAGATCACTTGTTTCCTAATTAACTACAACTAAGGAGAGATAGGGAAATAGTTCCAACGGTGAATATTCAAAGTATGGATTGATATATACTTGCATCGATGATCAGTTGTAAAATTTCGATGGTGGATGTTGACTTAGACCAAGGTTTGTTATTTTGATTGATTAATTTGAATTGTTTTTTTTTTTTTTTTCTAAAATTGTTTCCGTTTTACTCAAATCCCCCCTGCTTGGTTCACGTAACATAAAACTTGGC